GAGTTTGGTCAATGTTTTTTTCCTGGACAGGAGGGGGGAGAGAGAGATCTCATCCGTCAGCCTTCCGAGGCTCATGGCTGGCTATCGTTGCATCCATTGTGAACCCACCCGGCACTGTTTGCTACTTTGTTGCATTAACGGGTAGGTAGGTAGCACCCAGTGGTCGGTTAAGGTCAGACATCTGGAGCTCACGCGCTGTCACGCGTGTTCTAAACCCAGCTTAGACAAGCCTGGAGGTGGCTTCCACTCGGACCAAGATCTTCAGTGACGATCTGCTTCCCTGGTTGGCGGCTGTGGTCTTGGCCTCGAAGCTGGTCCCAAAGCTTTTCGTACCATCAACCTCTGGCGCACACGCATGAGCCTGAGCCTGAGCCTGAGCCTGAGCCTGAGCCTGAGCCTGAGCATAAGCATAAGCCCAAGCTTGTGAGCAGGAGCAGGAGCAGGAGCATGGCTGCGAGAGCAAGCACGAGCTTCACCTGCCTACCTTACCTAGGTAGATAGCTTAAGACCAAGCACCACACACGCCAGCATGAACAACAACATGATGGCCCCACTCATGCTTCCGGTCAATACAAGCAGACCTGAAGGTAGATACAACTGTTTCTCGCCCTTCCCGCCGCATTCCGCCTGACTGGGTTGCAAAGGGGACGGCCGATTGGGTGCGTGTTCTTTGTCTCGCTCGTGTCTTTAACAGCAAGGGTGCGCTAGGACGGCTGCCGGACTACAGCCACCTCCAATGCGCAAGTAGCTCCTCAAGACGGGAACGCTAAGGCAGGCTCTGATTCGGTCCCCGTTTTGGTGCGGCAGTCCTTGGCCAGCCCAGCATTCTTCATTCTCTCTGTCTCTCTGTATTTCCTCCGCTCTCTTTCTCTCTCTGTCTCGCGCTTGCTATTTTCTGCCTCGTCGTTGTCGCCCACTTTCCAACTTCCCCTACAATGGGCCGCCTGTTCCGCCAAGCGGCCAATGAGTCCCAAAGAGTCGTCCGTCACAGAAATTACACCGGCAATTGCCGCGGAAGCAGCGTTGGCAACTCACCCAGGCTTTGGTGACGTGGGCTGCGTAAAAATGCGCCATTCAGGATGCAAGATGCAAGATGCTGCCAAGCACTAGGCTATACTATTTCCAGGCCCCCGCCCGTGCGGTTGTAGGGGGCGGATACATCGAGCTTCTTACGAAATGGGGACGCAAGGATGGCTGACGAGGCAGTTGGTCGAGTTGAAGTACCGGCTTGGGGAATTCCTACTGCCGTGGACCGAAAATGGCCAGAACAGAGAGGGACGCCAGAACCGGGCGGGGGCGATGGACGAACAGTACCGAACCAGGTGGTATCGGGGCTTGAGCCGAAACTAGAGCCGGGACCCTGCCCATGATGATAAACTCGACGGGGTCCATGACTAGAATGCGGACCAGGGGCCAAGACCAGGCGCAAAGCACAAGTCCAAGACCAAAACCAAGCCCAAGATCCGAACCAGGGCCAGGACCGGGACAAGATGCAGGTGCAGGCGCAGGCGCAAGCGCAGGCGCAAGACCAGGGCTAGGACCAGGACCAGGACTAGGAATAGTCATGACTTGCCCCTCTCCTTCGACTGTTGACCCGTCGGTGAAAAAGGATGGTGGGACGTGCGGTGAGGTGTATCGTCGTCGATTGAC